AATTAAAAAAATTGGTTTATTCATGTGAATAATTGAGAAAAGCTCTACTACTTTGAAATTCAAGTCAGTGTTGGACTTTTCCATATGAGCAACGTCCTCGTTACCTCATTTTTAATTAAATAGCGTGGGCCATCATATTACTAATACACACGTACCTGTCTCAACTCCGGCGGCATATAACACCCATAAACTTTATGTTGTTCTTTAGATTTCTTCTTGTCCTTGCTACTGAGTCGTTCCCCCATACCCTGACCCTCTCTCCAGCCCATAGCGCGGAGCATGCGCACTGCGGCCGTCTCGTGGACCGGCCGTAGTAACTGATGGAGTACTGGCTCTCCTGTAATTAGGTATTAACATTTGAATTTACTTTAGTACAGTTGCCATGTAGACGCTACACGATTTAACTGCACAGATTATTATTGCATTAAGGCACCTCTACACGTTGGGCCTACGTATTTTTTTTAAGGGGGGAAAATCATCGAATGACTAACCCGCCTGGGTGAGGTGGTGAGGGAGTGTCAGACTCTTACTAACTAAAAACCACCCCGTTCCTTCTCCTGCCCCGGTTACCCGTTAGGTTCTCCGCGACTGGGCCTACGTATTGGATCAATAGTGAATAGTAAATATCCCTCATTGGCCGAGTGGTCGCAAGTACGACTGCCGGCGGTCTTATACAAGGCGACTTCTTTCTATGTATTATTATTTAAATAAATAAAAGTGGTCTTACCCGGTATAGGTCCGTCATGGTACTGGGTACGATGCTGCCTCTTCTGGCCCGAGAACTCCCTCTGTGTTTGCACCTGCCGCGGCGCTATACCAAACTCTCCACGATCCTCCTCGTCCATGAAATCTTCTGGACGTTGGTTCTGGAAAAAAATAGTTGTTTTGAACAATTTTAAAACATATTAAATTATTTCAAGGACATTTTAAGAATATAACTTTCTGCACGGGTGATTAATGAGAAAAGGTTATACAAATTCTTCGGTTTGTGATAATAAGATTCTAGGTTTCTTTTGGGTTGAAAGTTGCTTCAAATTCAATCGTTAGTATTTTCATGAAAGAGACATGTTATCTGTACTGCATATATACAAATACGACTGCACGGTTGGTGCGGTGGCTGGGCTGCCGTGCAACGTGTCGCGGGTTCGATTCCCGCACGGAACAACTCTTTGTGTGATCTACAAATTGTTGTTTCGGGTCTGGGTGTCATTGTGTATGTGAACTGGTATGTTTGTAAACGCACCCACGACACAGGAAAAAATCCTAATGTGGGGCAAAGTTTTATTTAAAAAGAAAAAATCCTCACAAACTTCCGCATTTATAATAATAAGGACGGTCCAAATAAAAAATTAAACTCACAGAAAACGCAGCCTTTTCAGATCGGGAGCTCTTAAAGCTGGTAGGTGTCCAGCCTTCCTGAGATCCGACAGTGTTGCCGAACCCTGCTGAGAAGCCTCCGGTGAAGGCACCGTGGAACCTGCGCCTCCCATGCTCATCCACCGCATACTGGTCTGGAGCCTGCTGGAACTTTCGCTTCGATGGCACTTCATCTGTTTGGTTACAAAGGAATGGAATATATTATATACAACCTGCGTGTCTATTTTAGATAGTATGACAAATCCAGGACTTTATTATCTCTAAGGTAAACTATGCAAGTGCCTAGGGCGCTAGGTAACATAAGGGAGGTGACGGCAAGAGGCGCGCGTTCTCATAGCGGTGGCGCCAAAAATATTAGAGCCGCATGTCTAGGGCGCTCTCTAGGTTTGATCTGCCTCTGAACAAACACCTGTTATGTTGAGGAGGTATGGGTCTGCAGCAATGGAATGTTGATGATATAGAACAGAATTTTAAGATTTGATAAAAAACATGGACAATGGACAACTTAGAGGTTGATACCCAACTATGATTTTTTCAATATCTATGCTTAACGGATTTACAACAGACTAAAAATATTAAATTCATAATTCTTGTACCTAAGGCAGGAGTCCATAATCGACCCTGTCCATGTTTGAATTAGACTGACTGACGTATCTTATCGGCAAAGTGCTAGCAAAATGATGGTATAGCTTTATTGGGTATTTGAACCACGTAATTATCAGTAGAATGGCTAGTACCTACCTATAGCAACAGCATAGCAAAATACAATTGGAATAAATTGAAAAATAAACCCCTTTGAAGAATAATAACCATATTTGTTGGTAATGGTGGTACATATCACGTTATACATACAGTAATATAGTCTATCTATTACTATATATTGAAGATGAACTTCCAGGCTGTAAAATACTTGAAGTGTCTTTAAAATTTTCTTTTTATATCATGGCAATCATACAAGTTTATATTATACTAGCTACTTCACACGCTCTGCTCAGCTCCTATTGGTCGTGTCGTGACGTTTTATAGCCTATAGCCATCCTCGATAAATGCGCTATCCAACACAAAAAGAATTATTCAAATCAGACTTGTAGTTCCGAAGATTACCGCATTCAAACAAACAAACAAACTCTTCAGCTTTATAATATTAGTATAGATTTTATCAAAGTACCTGCCCTTCAAGATTGATGACTTCAAAAACAGAGCACAACCAATAATTACACAGCACAAAGGTTTAAGTTAATTGTCCTGTTCAGGTGTCCTATAGGAATGTCTCAAATGAGTTTAATTATTCTGAGATACTAGCGACCCGCCCCGGCTTCGCACAGGTGGAATATGTATGTATTATGCACATAAATCTTCCTTAAGAATCACTATCTATTAAAAAAACTGTTTCAAAATCCGTTGCGTAATTTTACAGATCTAAGCATACATAGGTACAGACAGACAGCAGATAGCGACTTTGTTTTATACTATGTAGTGATTAATATTATATTTCACATTTGTACACCAGTAATGGTCAAACATGTTGATATTATGCCCTCTGCTTATATGCACAACCTATAATATGATGTATTGTTATTGCGCACGTGTTTCTGCAGATAAAATAATCTTTGTTAAGTTTATATATGTACTCTCCAACTAGGAAAAAATAAGAACACATTTCTATTAAGTAAAAACCTTTATTAATACTTAAATACTGAGTGGGTAACTATTACAGATAGGTAAGGATTAAAAGTGTCCTTTTTAAAACTAAAATTTAAAACTAAAACGAAAAAAAAAACAAACAATTTGAAAAGATTTTCAAATCTAGATCTCCATTAGAGATTCTAAGTACATACAAATAAAAATAAAAAACAACCATCCACACATCATTTCTTTTTTTTAAGTCTGTAAAAAACTCCTTGGTATAATCAGTTATTAAAAACCTACACCTTAAGATGAAACCTACTTAAAATTACCTAAAATAATTTTGTTGCTCTGGCAATACATAATGTAGGTATGTACAGACATTTCATGACATATGGCAAGGACAGCGGTATTAAAAGTTACGAGACTAAAATTAGTTCAACAAAGAAAGTTCGCTTATTTTTGGTATTCGTTTTGAATTAACTCTTAATAGTTATCCTACACTGACGATTATAACTAATCATGCAATTTTTTTAGCATCACATTTAGTTATTGATAAATGATTATAGTCTACTAAAGTAATATTAAATAAAAACTTATACATAGTAGAGGTATAAACAAGTCTTCCAGAAGGTTTAATCATTGATGTCGTCAGATGTTTCGTCATAGAATAATTTATAAACTATAGTGCATTGGCCTGCAATGACTTATAACCAAAATTCTGGATCAATATTGTCAAATTATTTGATTAATTAAAAATGGCGGCTTACTCATGTGAAAATACTAAATCTGTGGCACATCGCCGAGACCGCGCATGCTGCTATGAGCCCCCCTGTGGCTCGAAAGTAATTAGATAGAGCTTTTCTCAGTATTTTCACGTGAGTAACCCGGGATTTTTAGTTCATTTAGTATGTCTCACGATAGTTATTACAAAAATAAACTATTTTGAAGATTGACAGACATTCCATATTGCTGATTTTGACAATTATAAGACATTATTTCAGCCGTAACTCGCTTATGACAGACACTTGAAAAATTTATCAGTCCATGCTCTAAAAATATGGCTTCACATGACACACTAATTTAAATACTAATTTAAAATACATATCTTGACATACAGAGATATATTACCTTATAAATAAACTACAAACTAGTTACCTCTTTGAAAGGAGTATTTGGAAATTTAAGAATAACTTTTATAAAAGTACTTAAATAATAGAGTTGACTTTTTTGAAGTCGGTTAATATCCCTGCTCCTAAATAAAACAAAAAGACTTTTCGGGAATCCACCTCAAAATCGGTTCAACCAAGTGAGAGACAATCGCGGACAACAATACATTGGTACCTACAGACCAAACTGAGAACCTCGTTATTTTTTTTTTTGAAGTCGCTTAAAAACGATAATATTCTTCTATTCTTCAGTATTCTTCATAAGGTTCTATTTCACTAACTTTAGTTAGGATTCTGTTATTTAAACCGAGAAAAGGCTTTGCTCAGCACTGGGCATTAAAAGGCGGTTGATGAACCGATAGATAAAAAAAATTGAGAAAATATGTCAATATATGAGTGCAGAAACTCTTTACTCGTTTTACTAAGGTCGTAAGAAAGTGTTTACTAAGTCCTGAATCATCATAATACTGCAAATAGAACAGCTACCATAATCAAGTAAAAATGTCGATAATGCTCAATTGCATTGAATTAAAAATGTTGTGTAAAAATCGCTTTGCATACAATACGTTTTACGTCAAATACACAAATATTTTGCGTAAGCACTTAAGTAATAATGCATACAGCGTGTAACATAAACGGTACGCACCCGAAACACACCAGAAGAGGATGGTAAATACAAGTTTTATCATAAAAGTAAGGAATTAAATATTGTAATAATAGTTGTAATCAACCGCTCAAGGCTGATGTTGTATGAATAACTCAAGAACGAACCCTTTGAGTATCGTCATTATAGACACAATTAAAGAACAATAGGTTGCGGTCACCGGTGTCCTCGCGGTCACCGGTGACTGTGTCTATAATGACGGTACTCAACGAGTTAAAGTTGTAAAAGCAATTTATTTTTCTAGCGTTTCGGGAGCGTTCCGTCCTGTATAGCTCCGCGTCTAAAAGGATTAGTCAAATATTGTACGTGGCTTATTAATACGGTACCCATTCTGATGAAGCATAGGACGCATTAAGATTAGGATACTCGGATTTTTGGCCCGGAACGTTTTCGTGTATCGTGGGATACGTGGATGCCGAGTTCATCCTCATACGTTTGTTCAACCGTTTGCGAGCCTTTTTTGACAGTTTCACTGAAACATCTTCTGGCGGAGGATGTTCAGGTGTTTTTGGTTCTTCATACTCATAAACTGATGATGCAGGTGTTTCATCATCCTCCTTCACAAATTGTATGGGTGATATATTGTTCCTCGACTTTTTATTGAATTTGAAATAAGGTTTTCTACCTTTGGGCCAAAAAGTAAGTTTGTCTATTCCTAAATTGACTTTAAAATCGACAAGTTTTAGAGCTTCGTACGATGCATTGTCAATTGAAAGATGTACAATGTCACCTTCATTTACTTTTAATATTTTAAATACTTTCCAATGTTCTGTATGGAGGCCAGGGTTTTGGACACGAAGCAGTTCCAGCGCCGTCGGAATAGAAACCCCCTCCTTGCTCGGTATTAATAATGACAAGACTATAGACTTCGGGAATGCAGTGTTAGACATAAGAGAGAGGCTTGCTTGAGGCCACGGCTTCAGTTTTGTCACAATACCCTCAAGCCATTTTCGAGTATGTTGATCTTCGCATATCATAAGGATCCAACCTAATTTGTATGCACTTCCTAAGAACTTAGGTCCTTTACCTTGCTGGCCAATCTTCACAATTTCTTTATTAATAGCTTGATGTACCATGCTCATTTGTTTTTTGTTCATCGGGGTGACATTTTGAATGCCAACACGAATCGATTGCGAATCGTCTTGTTTATCCGATTTTATCGGAAATTTGTGTGCCTTGACAACTCTATTGTTGAAATTTTCACTATCGTCGATCTGAATATCACTACCGACTGGGGTGTGCGGTTCAAAAGACATCTCTCTGGAGCATCTAGCATCAAAATCATCGCAATCGGAATCGACTGTAAACACCTGTGCTGCATTTAGTGAACCCGATACTGAACGGCAGTCTGAATTTGAGCTACCACGACAAGAATAATTTTGCCGAGGAGGATTTGGTAAGCGATTTTGGTCACCATAATAGTTTTCACTGTAAGCACGCCTTTTATTGTTCATTTCCTCCCGAAGGTCCATTTGAGGTCGAGCCTCATGATTCCGTACAAAGTTTAAAGAAGGATTCTCAGCATCATAAAGTTGGTGATATTGGTATCTTTCGTCGTTGTCGTCATACGGGCGTTTAGTTCCTCTTGACTCATTCTGGACAGGCATATTGTATGCTTGTGACTGTGAGTTTCCGCCATTCGAATAGACGGGACTGTATTCTATCTCCATTGGATATTGTTGACCACTCGGAGGTCTATTGTAATTTGTGTCTATACGGACGTCTCTCGTCATTTTACGCGGGGGCTGGGAACCATTACTAATAGTTTCCACGTCATCAAAATGTCGTTTTCTTGAAGTCTGGTAATGAGTTCTTGCTTGGGAGGTACTAGCAGTGTCCCAATAGTTTTGCTGGGAACTATCTCTTTGCATATTTCCTTCATTTATTTTTAATTCGTTAGATCTATAATTTGATTCATATTCATTAGGAGGACTTCTCGGTTTATAAGATTCAGTCTGCCAATTTGTACATATATCTCTTGTCTTCCATTGTACTCCCTGTTCTTCTGCTCTTACACGTTCACTGCAGCCCACACCCTTAGACCTTTGACCCTGGGTCTGGTTCTGAACAAGTCGATAATTCTGTGATTTTTTAGCTTTAGATTTTTTCTTTTTTTTCTTCTTGAGTTCAGGAGGTTGAATTTGCATCATCAAATTTTCTTTTTTTCCAATATCTTCGAGGCCAGGAATTTGAGCACATAAATCCTTCCAAGGTAATTGACATAAGGTTAAGGCTCTTTCGGGTGCGATGTTTGCTTTGCGAAGTTTAATATACCTCTTTTTGGCAGCACTTCCAAAGCTCGGAGTTTTGTTTGACGGCATGCTTCCGGTGTAATCTGGGAGTCAAAAAAATTCTTGAGTTGATCAGCTGTTTTTCTGTGCACACATTTTAAGGTTTTATAAATTAAATGTTTTATCAATTTATTTAATTATGAAATGTTTTTAATATCTCTATGGGCACCATGTATTGAGAAAAAATCAATCAATAATATGTATATGGAAAGAATTATTAACATTAATTTATACTTTTTAATTTAATCAATTACTTAAATAACATCATAATTTATAGTTAGTTATATCCAAAGGAAATTCTGAACATAACATTCAAATTGCCAAGCTTTCCCAATATATTGTAAAAATGTACAATAATGTATTTACATACAGTTAACTCTTTGAGTACCGTCATTATAGACACAATTAAAGAACAATAGGTGACCGGTGTCCTCGCGGTGTTTGACAGTTTAAAAAAAAACACAACACAAACATTTTATTTTGAACTAGCTTCTAGCTAAATTTCGAGACGCCTAAAATTTTTTTTTCTAACCTTCAATCCTTCCCTGGACTTCCACAAACATTTCAAGACCAAAATTAGCCAAATCGGTTCAGCCGTTTTCGACTTTTAGCGAGACTTACGAACGGAAATTTATTTTTATTAATATAGATTAAAATATAAAGACTTGATATTCTATAGATAACAAAAAATGAAAAAAATAACCTCTAAAGTTCCGACCTAACAAGGATTACCTAGCCGATAGACAGTGTGCACAGTATCTAAGTAAAATATTTTATCGTATAAATAAGAAATAGTGCAAAATCATTTTAATTGATGATTTCAAAATGTATCATTTGTACCACTCACACACGCGTACGTAGTAACTTTTTTGAATAAATACAATCAAAACCTCGTGATTTTATAACATTATTTATATGTTCACACCACAAATAATAAAAAAATAATGTGTTTTTCACATAAAATTAGAAATTAAAGGTAAACAAAAAACTTACCTTCTTCTATAGGATCTAAAGCTGTCCCGTAGCGTACAAAGTTATCGTGATCGTCGTCTGAATCAATCATTTCTTTTCACAAGGTACCAATAAATTTGCTGACTTTGATGGTATTTTAAAATTTATAGTTCATGCAATATATTACTTATACCTTGCACAAACGCATTCATACATTTTCTTTACAATCTGGACTGAATCTGACAAACTTTTTGTTTGATTTGACGTTCGTCGGTTGTCAGTTGTCAAATAATTCAGTGCTGCTATAAACCTTAAATATGAATGAAACTTACATTAATTATTATTTTTTATGTTAATTTATTAATTAATGATTTTTAGTTGTAAATATTTAATTTGAATTTTTACAATGATTTTAGTATCCTAAATTATTGGTATTGTACAGTAATTTGGATTAATTTTACTAAATTTTTTAGAGTGCAATAAGTTTACTATTGAATTCATAAAAAAAAGAATACCTATATACTAGCTAATCCGGCGAACTTCGTACCGCGTAATAATCTAACCCACTCTACCCTACTCTACTCTATCCTACTCTACCCTATTCTACTGTACCCTAATGAAAAATAGACTATCCTATCTCTCAAGTTGGATCGCACTGCACATGGTGTGGGAATTTTGTTATAATCTGTTAAGTGGTTTAGGAGTCCATTGAGGACAAACATTGTGACACGATATTTATATATATTATAAGGCGGCCAACCGTCCCGTATTCTGCGGGACCGTCCCGTAATGCTAGATGTAATCCCGCTTTGAAATAATTTATAAAATAGTCCCGTAAAACGTTAGATGCGTCTTGCAAGTCCCGCATACCCATTTCTTTTTTTTCATTTCATATTACACGACACCAACACACCAACAATAAATGAAGATCGGAAAAATCATCACTAAAAGTGAAAACACTACGTGCTCTGTTTGTACTTAAATTTAATATGGGAAGTTGCGAAGATTTTCATGGCATACCTACTCTATAAGAATCCTGAACTTGTTAAAAAGTTTCACTCTAGAGATAAATACGATTTTATTATTAGTTAAATAACTTTATACATAAGTTTTATGTTTTTATGTAATTGTAACTAGGTGTTTTTTTTAAATGGGGGGGAAATCATCGAATGAATTCTCCCGCCTGGGTGAGGCGGAAGGGAGTGTCAGACTCATACAGACTAAAAACGACCCCGTTCCTACTCCTGCACTTCGATGCGATGTACCTAATTGTAGGTGTACCGACTAAACTTTATCTACAAAAAGTCCCGCATTAGACTTTCAGAAAGTTGGTCGCCTTAATATATTAAGATTATAGTGCGCTATGGTCTTAGCTATTTACTAAGCTTTCCAAGAGCGATTAAAATAATTGAAATGGGTTTTGTTTCCAGATTTAAATAAATGTTCAAATAACTCGTATTCTCTTCTATAAACTCCCAAACCTATGTTTTGGGTTTTGAATACATACAGAAATTAATAAAACAATTTAAAATATTTTTATGTATAAATAAAATTATTTAACATAAAATTTATTTCACAACCAATTTAATTGTTGTAAAAACAAATAAATCTTGGAGGTATATCACAGATTTCATATTACAATATACCTAAAAGAATACATGAGATTTTTTAAAGGGCTATATTGAGAGCAAAAGCTATTCCAAACATTTATACAATTAAATATTTGAATTTATAATGGACAAAGCTTGTCTTTTAGAGTCCGCAAAGATACATAACATCACAAACCTACAATTATAAAAACCCTAAAACATTGCAAGTAAAAACAATACTCAACAACACCTACGGCACATAATTATTCCGGATCCAAAAAGAGCACACTAGTGCCATTGTCATAATTAATTTATCACCTAATAACTGCACTATAGCCTACAATGTTCTCATCAGTGAGCATATCACCAAGAACATGTTGCAAATTAGTAATAGTTCTAAACCTGTCTTCACCATCTAGGCACTCCTTTAGTAATCTCTCCAAATGAGGTTTTGAAGTTTGAACCTCTTCGGGTATAGGACTCAGATAAGGATCTTCATCACCGGCCAGAATGAAACAGGCTGCCCATATGTTATGGTCACTTAGATGATGTTTGCACATATTGTCTATGGAGAATGAGAATCCCGTGCCCATAACTTCTCTGCTGTATCGTTGATACCAATTTGGTAAGTCTGGTTTCGGTGAAATGTGCTTGTCTAATATGATTATGTCCTCAAGGTCTACGAAGGTAATGTCATCTTTTTCGTTTGCTACTATGTTGTCCACTGACCAATCCATAAGGTAGAACCGGAATCTGTAACAGAGTGTATATTATTTAAAAATTGAAAAATAATAGAATATTTACCACTATTTTATGCACATCTGCCTAATTTTTTGAGGAATTAAATGTGTAAATAAAGTAATAAATGAATTTGTTTATTTATGTAAACTCCATAACATCCACTGTAATAGGCCTAAAAACCATATTGTTTACATTATTATGGTTTTCGACTTAATCACTTTATTATATGATGAGAAACTCAACTAGTTTCAAGCCATGCATGAGTAAGTCAGAAACCATAATAATTAATGTATTGTCTCATGGAAGTTTTAATATAAATATTGTATACATTCTTAGAGGTGTAATCTCCATATCCTCAATAAATTACATTACACTAGTTGCAAGAAGCCTTACAAATAACAATGCATACAGATTATAATTATCTCCAATACCAACCTATCATGTTTAAAAGTGAAGTCCATTGCAGCATCCAGGATTTTTTTAGCAAAATTCAACTTTCTGTACCAGGACACATGAGTTAATGACGAAAGAGGTTCACCCTCATAAGCTACAACCTCAACACGACCACAGACACCTGCATACGCTGGTACTGGCCATCCACTAGACTTTTGCAACACCTGAAAAAAAAAGTATTGTTACAGAAGTATTTAATAGAAGATGCAGTTATTGAAAAATAGACTTTATGTACCTGTAATACAATAGGTTCTGGGTTAATACTCAGCATGGTCCAGATGTTGACAATATCGACCTGCTCCTTTTTGCTGTTGAGCACTGGTATTATGAAATCGTAGAGACTATGTGCATATGGACACATTACAAGGCCCTTCCTAGGCCTTGGATCTGGCACAGATAAGTTATATTCCACAAGTTTGATCAACTTATCATCAATGTTGGAGGCATTCAGCAAATGTATGGGCTTACAGTTCCTTTTAAGGTTGAAGTTTTTACACAGACTATTATCAAAAGTCCGCAGCTCGGAATTATGTGCCAATTTCTTCAAAACAACTCTTCTATTCGACCTGGTGTAGCCGTAATAAATGTTCTTTGTATTAAACATGCTTGACCATCTATGAGTTTCCATAATAATTTGGTTGGAGTACAATTCTGGACACACAGACACTCCGTAGCAAGCCGGACAGCGACCCAAGTCCGTCAGTTGCATAACACGTGGAGCTTTCAGATCACCAAATAGAAGAACCGATACATAGAACGAAATGGTAAAGGCGATTACCATTAAAGAGGCTCTTTTGAAAAATCGTCGGCGCAGCAGCATTTTTTCGTAAATTTTATCATTCATTGTTAATGGATAAACCCTTAATTGTATTAATTGAACTTCAAATTTAAAACATCTTAGATATTTCTACGGATTGTTCCCCTATTTCCTAAAAAAATATTTATGTTTGTTCGAAATGTTCAAACTTCAAAACATGAAATCAAATAATCACCGACTGTCAGTCGACAGTCAGTCTAGTCTGTCATTTATAGTTTTTCAGCGACACTCAAAACTGTTCAGAAACTTTGCAGCTTATAAATATGAGGTGTAATAAAACACAACTGCCTTTAATGTAGAAAAATAGGTGTAATGTAATACAAATTGTGTTATTCTTGTAAGAACAGTTGTTAGATAACTTGTTTAATACTATGAACGCCATTTATCTAGGTAGTTTCTTTCCAAAATTAACATTTTATGTTTCTGAACGGTATCTAAATCGTCAATAATCGTTTCTTGCAAATGTCAATTTGAATCTGTCAAATTGTAGAATGCGATTTTGCGAATCGCTGACGATTCAATGAAAAAATAAAGCAAAACAAAGCATAATTCAATAATTGATGGCGCATACACTATTTCGTAATTGAACCAGTATTATTTTTATGTCAAGTTTAACTTCGGTGAACGTGATAGTTTAGTGTTTACATAGTCGTGTGATCAGCTGTTTTTAAAAATGGGTTTTATTTCATATTTTATGGATAATTATACGGCCAGCATATACGATATAATCGGTGAGTGGCATTTTTATAATGACCTTGTACTTTATCGACTGTATAAGTAAGTAGAGATAAAAAATTCCATCCTTTTTGTATTGTGTCCATCCTCTTTCTAGTTTTCATAACATTCACATAAAGGTCCTGTTTTTATAAGTTTAAGTCAGTGTTTACGTCCTTTATTTATTCCGTTGACATAGTTATTTCAGTTTGAATTTTATCGAACATGTTATTTCTAAACATTTTTGTCAATTCACCATAATAAGTCTTTCAAATAGTTGGGAAATAATTGCATCATACTAAGTTTCTTCATTTAACACACTCACACATATAATAAAACGAATTACGTTTAGAAATATCTCTACCTTTCATGGAGACTTTAAATATAAAAACACATTGAACTTGATTTGTATTCTTGACTGTATCTGTAAAATTAGTTTTTTTTTCTCAGGTGGGTAGGTCCTAATTCTGTAGGATTATTGTTACCTCAGTTATTAACATATTTATGATTGCGAATGATTTAAGATTTTCTCAAATTTGTTCTACTAGTTTCAGAGCCTATTCCGTGTAAATATGCTAACAATCAAATCTTAATTCTTTATGTCATTCATGAAGAAACTCTACTTACCTATTTTATTAACTAGGTATGTCCAAAAAGGTTAGATATTTTGTTTAAACTGTCAAACACCGCAAGCACACCGGTGACCTCAACCTATTGTTTTTTCATTGTGTCTATACTGACTGTAATCAACGAGTTAATATAATTTAGGGAAATATGCTAGCATACATTGTGCAACATATTTTTTCCTTAACATATCACTTATTACATTTGTTCATATACCTACTTATATACAATCAAATTTATTTGCAAAACTATTTTTAACCAACTTCAAAAAAGGAGGTTCATAGTTTTTAAAGATTAATTAAAAGGATTGTCATGTTCAACGATAAAATAGCTACTAAATAACATAATTA